GTATTTAAAAATGTTACAAATTATATAATTTGTTCATGTATATGGAAAATATATGGTGTATATGAAAAAATAGACATCAAATCGTATAACTAATAGAAAATTTTAACCGCGTATTTAAAAAGTGTACGACATGCATATTTTTTTTCATGTGTACAGTAAAAAGGTACATGTGTACTAAAAAGACATGTGTTAAAAAACAAAACCAAAGAAAACCGATAAAAAAACCAAAGAAAAAGAAAACACCAAAAAACCAACGCATAAGATTGAAACACAGTGGAAACAATTCCTGAAGGAACCCGCTGAAAACCAAGGAAAAAAAGGAAAAGCGAATAAAATAAAAATAAAAAGTAAAAAACAAAAAACCCAAAGAAGATATATAAAATAAAAAGAAATACAAATAACCCCAAAATATCGACAAAAACCCACACATAAAACGTACTCCTACATCTATATCTATATCTATATCTATACCTCTATATCTATACCTCTATACCTACTAATAAAGAGGCTATTGCTTCTTACCACCGTAAATTTCGTCCGTCCTTGGTTTCGTCCGTAGTCGTCCCTCGCTAGATTATGCGAGGCATCGTAGGTTCACCGTATGGGCCGGCCCTAACTTTTGTTTAAAAAAAGATGGTGCTAGAGCGATTTCAGGTTCCAACTCACGACTAGTCTTTTTTTCACGGGCCAGCAGCTACCCAAGTCCTTTGGTCAAAAACAAGGTTGACTTACTCATTGAATAGTCCCACTTCGGTCCCCGACATGAAATCATCCCAATTTATATATACTTTTAAGTTCCTGTGTTCGGTCTGTGAGATATGCAGTGAAGCTAAATGGAGAAATTTTGGATTTCTTCGAACCTTCGAGGGGTCTCAGTCAAGGTGACCCTTTAAGTCCGTATTTGTTCTTGTTTTTGGCTGAAGGTCTATCACGTGCCCTTGAGGCTGAATGTGCTGCTGGTAAGATCACCCCTTTGAAAGTGGCGAGAGGGAGCCTAGGTATCTCCCATCTTCTATTCGCAGATGATAGCCTTCTCTTCTTTAAAGCTGATAGTGATGAAGCAAGGAGTATCAAGAATGCCCTCAACAAATTTCAGCACGGGACGGGCCAACTGTTAAGCCCAAGTAAATGTCCCATGTTGTTTAGCAGAGCTTGCCCTTCGCAGGTCCGGAATGAGATTAAGCATATTCTGGATATTAGCTCAGTCACTTTTGAGGAGAGGTATTTGGGTTTGCCCACACCCGAGGGGCGCATGAAGAGGTCCCAGTTTCAACCTATCTTTGAGCACTTCACTAAAAGACTCACTAATTGGGTTGAAAGATTTATGTCCCATGGTTCTAAAGATATTTTGATCAAATCGGTGATTCAAGCATTAACGACTTATACCATGAGTATGTTCAAGATGAGTGTGGATTTTTGTGAGCAATACGAGAAAATGGTGCGTGATTTTTGGTGGGGTGACGAGCAAAATCAAAGAAGAGTTCACTGGATGTCATGGGAGAAAATGACACAACCAAAATGTCATGGAGGCCTGGGATTTCGAGACATGCAGGTTTTCAACCAGGCCCTGCTGGCTAAGCAAGCCTGGCGCTTAATTCAGAGACCAAAGAGTTTGTGTGCTCGGATTCTGAAGTCAAAATATTATCCGAATGGCAATTTGCTGGACATGGTCTCCGCGTACGATGCGTCTCCTGTGTGGAGAGGGATTGAATTTGGCCTAGAACTCCTGAAGAAAGGTGTTGTTTGGAGAGTTGGAAATGGGAATAGTATCCAAATCCTTAGGGATAATTGGATCCCAAGGCAATCAGGACTCAAGGTTCTATCTCTTAAGACCTGGAGCCGAATCAGATGGGTTAATCAGCTCATGTTGCCGCAAGCAAGGGAATGGAATGTCCCCCTTATCGAGAAGCTATTCCATAATTTTGACGCCGAGGAAATATGCAAAATAAAGATTCCTGTCAATGAGACTGAAGACCATCTAGCTTGGAACTATGAGAAAAATGGCATCTTCACGGTAAGAAGTGCTTATAGATTGGGTATGAACTTGAAGCAACAGGAAGAAATAGTTGGTTCGTCTCGTAGCATCAGCACTGGAAGGGAAAATCTATGGAATTTGGTATGGAAAGCACAGGTCCCTGGAAATTGATGGAATATGTAATATATGTGGTATAGAGAAAGAGGATGCTCACCATGTTGTTGTGAACTGCACCAAGGCTAGAGCTCTTAGAGAAAAGATAAGAGAACATTGGGCATTACCAAAAGAACCAGTACTTGCCGAACCTAACCCGGATTGGCTGTTAAATGCTTTAAGCCAATGCTCTGGACACATGCTTGAAAAACTGCTACTGGTTCTCTGGTGGTCATGGCATCTCAGGGAGGATATTGTACATAATAAAGGGGAAGCAAAGATCTCAGACTCGGTCCTTTTCCTAAAGAATTATTGGGAAACATTGAACTCTGAAGCCACCGCTGAAAGTGATATCAAAGGGAAAAAACCATTGCATGTTACCGAGATGCAGTCGTCATCAGAAAGAATTATACAGCCAAAATGCCAATGGTCTAGGCCCCAAGGAGCTTGTATTAAACTGAACATCGATGCTTCTTTTGTTTCAGTTTTGGGCTCGGCTTGGGCTGGGGCGGTCGCTCGTGATAGCACGGGATCAGTTGTATTTTCTGTAGGCTGTCATGTTCAGGCATGCGACGATGCAGAGGAAGCAGAGGCAAGCGCCTTTGTGATTGGACTCAAGTGTTTGAGAAATGTTCACAGGGGACAGGTATACGTTGAGTCTGACTCTGCTGCTGTTGTGAATGCTATGAACACTGAAGGAAGGAACAAGGCCAAGTGGTGGGCTAAGTACGTAAGAGGCTAAAAGCCTGATGCGTGACTTCAGTATATCTGAGGTGAGGAAAATCAAAAGAGAGTGCAATGTGGCTGCACATGAGCTGGCTGCTCATGCTAGAATTCATGGGGATTTTTTTCTGCCAAAGAATGTGCCACCAGATATACTTCATGTAATTGAGAATGATTGTACCCGTATTATGAATGAATGAGCTCTCTTTTTGCCCTCAAAAAAAAGGTGGCACCAAGGGGAGAATCAATCTTAAAGAAGGAGAGAGAGACGAGATCCGTGGACAGAAATCAATCTTAAAGGAGAGAGAGATGAGGCAAATATTTAGAAAAAATTGCTACAGCCAGCCATGGGTGTGCCCAGCCTAATAGAAAGGTTGCAGCAAGAGTTTGAGCTAATAAATCTTCAAGAAGGAAGAGAGAGCCAGTGAAGCTCACCCACATCAGAGAAAATTCAAAAAAATAGTGCAGGCAGGCGCCACTACTGATTTCGCGGATGAGAAAACTTGGGGCTCACCAAGCAAACCCACCGGGGAACACCGATCCAGCCCGGCGGCGAGGTGGCCTCGTACTTGTGTTTACGCAAAGTCTAAATAGTGCAAAAGAAAAGGAGTATAATATAGTTTTGCAAATGAAACAAACAACCAACATTTTCTAGAAAAACATACTAAAAACCTGTTTGCTTTTGAATATTAACAAATAAATTTTGTATAAACAATCCCACTTCAATGAATCACAACTCTTGCATTCGCTGATAGTGTGATGTTGAAGGAGGTGTCTTCAAGACATGGGTGTGGCTTCATAAAAAAAATTAACTGCAGACACTAAAACTCCTACCATCGTCGACGGTGGCGTCGAACATGAAAAGTGGCAACATGAATGAAGCGCTAAAAGTGTATACACTTACACCTAGAGAGGCTGAGCTGACGGGTCTTCCGATTGATGAACTCACCACAAACATTTCGCTATCGACGCAAATGTCACCTCCCACTCAAACAAGAATCCGTCTCTTTACGAGACATTAAAGTGTCCAACCTGATTTTTAGTTCCTGGTGGTATTGGGGTACCACCGTCCTACTAACCCTCCAAGCAAAAGTTGGTTATAAGGGTTAAAGATAAATTGGTCAGACCTTATATGGCCATGCATGCGCTGTAGTAATGGACATTAAAGTAGGATATGCATTTCTTCTATACCTCGGCATGCGCCTTCGTGCTCCCGCCGTGCGCTGATGGATGTTTTGGTAAACACATCAATTTTCTTTCTTGTTGTTATAAAATACTCTTCCAAACCAAACAACTAATCATCTCTAAAAGCAACATAATAAAAATCGTGTTTGCATTCCAAACTTTTGAAAATTCTTATAAAACTTTGGACTACTTATTAAACCCTTGAATAGTATATACAACAGTTCCGCCCTCTCTATATCCCACTAAAAATGTGTTAAAAAATGTTCATCTTCAAAACAATTTCAGTTCTATTTTTTTTCAAGATTGTTCAAAAAAATTCAAATAAAGAAATATTCATGTTTTTCAAAAAGAAAAAATAAAATCGATTGACAAATTATTTCATAAGCCACTACCGATGTTTATCAAAACTACATGTATGAACGGTTCAAGAAAACTACATGTATGAAATTGTGCATAATGACACACAGAGTAGATTTTACAAGTTTTTTCGCCCGTTGCAACGCACGGGCATTTGTATTAGTGAGATATAACGGGACTAAAAAAACCTACAGTAATCTCGATATGGATAGCTATCCGTAGACCCTTCAGACGAGGGTAGCTTCTGTAAGCGCGATATAGGTCTCGCGGGCCAGCAGAGACTCAGACCACCGCCGAACTTAAAATTAAACTGAAAAGGCAATCTCTATTGAAAATGAAAAGGATTTAAAATGCAAGCAGACGGGTGTCACAGTTTTGTTTTACTTTACTGTTTGATTGGGAATACGCTCCATTCAGGCGTTCCGACGCCGCTAGGTTGCCCATGCGCTGTACTTCCGGTCACAGCTTCAATAACTCGCCACCGAATGGAGCGCTCACATGTGCACCTCTCAGTAGCGCACGCGGCAGCAGCTGGCACCGCCTCGTCGAGCTTGCAACACCTGCCCCTTGTACGTGTTGCATTCTTTTACACCACCTCATATGAGTCATGACACACTTCACGAAGCTCTCGCTTACATACAGCAGCCGTCGCACGAGCCTCCGCCACAGACAGAACCACCCACGCAGAAGACGGATTCACGCAGCACACCACACGCACGTACTGTACTACGCCGGTGACAAGCGAAAGGAGGACGCAGGCATGGCCAAGAGCGGCACGGAGGAGTGGCGTCGCAACGCCGACACGCACAAGATGAGCCCGGAGGAGGTCCGGGCCGCGGGGGTGGAGGCGTCCATGCGCCCGCCGGGCCGTGGCGGCGCCGGGGAGGTCCTGCACCAGCGAGGCGGCCGCCTGCCGTACGGGCCCGGGACGATGGCGCTGATGGGGTTCGGCATCGTCGGCGCCATCGGCTACCTGGTGCTGTACCAGAAGGCCAGGCCCGGCACGCCGGCCACGGAGGTCGCCAAGGTGGCCGTCGGACACGGCGACCCTGCCGTCGGCCGCGAGGTCCAGAAGCGCCAAGACGAAACGCAGCCACCGCCACCGCCACGCGAAGGCAAGTAGACTAGTTAGTGGCAGAAGAGCTAGAGGATTTTCGGCGTTTGTGCTTCGAGCTCGACTCGATTTGATCTGCTAGCCGCGCTTCTCAGCTTGGGTACCTTTTGTCGTGGACCATGCACGCGTGTGACTTTCTATCAGAAATGACACAGCAGAAATAAATAATCGTACTGATGTACTCCCTCCGTCCGGAAATACTTGTCATACATCCTCTTTTATCCATTTTGATGACAAGTATTTTCGAACGGAGGGAATAGTAGTACTGTATTAGTTGCTTTTAATTTTTGAGAAACTGGCAGTGACGAGTAAAGTTGTGAAATCAGTATGTAGGGCAGAGTTCACCATCTTCCATCTTTCGGGTGCCGAAAGTAAGGCCAACTCCAACGTGCTGATTTTGTCCGCTTTTTGATCGTTTGATTTGTCAGTTGGTCGTGTTCGCCTCATGTTTGTGTCAATCACTGTTTGGTTTGTCAGTTGGTCGTGTTCGCCTCACGTCTGTGCCAATCTGGGCAGTGTGAACAACCGGTCTTGCCTTTTATTTGCCAAAAGAATTAAGAATTAAATGTTTTCTGTACGTATAAATTAAATAAACAAATAAAAAGAAAACAAGGCACATAATTAAATAAATAAGTCACAATTTTTACAACACAATAAATAAAAATCACACGAAATGAATTTGAAATTATAGCAAAGACACTAAAGAAAAAGGGCAGATATAATTATAGCAACTACATCGAAAGAAAAAAATGTATCAATTGATTTTCTATGTAAGTAACATATGCCTAAACTGTTGGACATATCAACACCTTTTCAATTATATACTAATTCATAAGTAATTAGTAAGCACGACAAAACAACTATTTTTTTTTGAACACAAGAAAAGCACCATCAAGCGCCAAAATTTTATTCAACTCATATGCGGAGTATAGAATGAATTACAAAGCCCTCAATTTGAAAATTCTGAATCTGGAGCATAGTATGACAAGGGCTATTGCTACGAGCTGGATGAGTACAACCAATGACAGGTTCTAGCCTAGAGTTGAGAACCTGATGAGCTGCGTTGTGAGCAATATCATTGATATTCCTAGCATGATGTTGTGGATGAGTGTCATGATGAGCTGCGTTGTGAGCAATACCATTGATATTCCTAGCATGATGTTGTGGATGAGTGTCATGAAGAAAGCTACTAATCGGTGTTCGACATCTCCATGGAGTGTTGTTGCTGCTTAAGTTCCTGGAAGCAGCCATCTTTGCAAGAGAAAGATTATCCATGAGAAAAGAGACTCGCTGAAGTTGGAGAACTCGAGCAACCTTGGCTGCTAGTTACAAAGCTAAAGCTTCTGCCACAAGTGGAGAATGAGTATCATCAGCCGAAGCCTGAATCATGATATTCCTATGATGTTGGTCCCCTGGTGGGCAATGTAGATTCCTATCCCTATAGGTGGAGAATAATCTCTTCCAAAAATGTTTTTCTTTTGCCAAGAGGCATCGGAGTAAACTTTGGTACCTGTAATGAGCAAATCAAATCTTATAGTTGAGCCTTGCACAATTTGATTCTGTTGGCCATGAGAGGAAGGCTTTGAATTCTACTCCCCTTCCATGGTTGAGTCCTGCAAAATCTGTAAAGAGGAAATGGCAAGAGAAGCATATTGAATTTGGTGAGGAAAAGAGTATTTCTTGCAAAATAGAGCATCATTTCTTGCCTTCCAGAGACACCACAGGAAGGTGAAAATGTTTTCTACAGTTGCATGTGGGTGATTCATAATTAAATGAGCGTGAATGATATCATGAATGGAACAATTGTGCTACACCAGAGAATCAGTCCTAATAAATCAGGGGGATGCAAATCAAGCAGCTCTAGCAAATGGGCATAGAAAGAAGAAATGAAGATCATCTTCATCAAGGCTGCACCTAGAGCAATGGGAACTAATATGAACAGAAAACTTACCTGCCCTGATGCCAGTGGGAAGAGCTCGCCTAAGAAGTCACCAAGCAAAAGTTTGGATCCTAGGGGCCATGTGCTTTTGCTTCCAAACCTGCTGTAGAATATCCTTGATGATTGGGGCTACCTGTCTTGGGGCGTTGGCTTGGTGAGAGTGAATCTATTGGAGACATAGTTTGTATGTGATTTTGGAAGTACATTTTCCTGATGGAGTCAAGTCCCAACAGAGAAAATCCCTGCAGTCATCATAGACAATATGTGTAGCAAGAATAGTTGAAGCAGTTGGTTGCTCAAAGAGATCGTTAAGTAGCCGCACATTCCAGGTTTTTTGTCCAGGAAGCCAAAGATCAGAGATCTTAGCAGGATAAATGTAATTGCTATGCTGGATTATGAGATGATCATACATATCTTTCCAGGCAGCACACCAAGGAGTACTCCAAATAAAACTATTCCCTTGTGAAATCTGAATAAAAGCATGAGATTTAAGCAGAGGCATCACTTTAAGAATGGAGGACCAGAAAACAGATTTTGAGATGTTAGTAGAAGCTTTCCAAATGAAAGAATCGGGAAAATATTTAGACTTAAGAATTTTATAGAGATGCCCTTCAGGGTTTTCAGCAATCCTCCAAGTTGAGGCAAGAGTAGGCCTTGATTCATAGCAAGCATGTTCTTAATACCAAGGCCACCCTCCTTCTTAGGAGTACAAAGATCCTTCCAGGCCCTAAGACACATAGCTCTAGCACCTGGCTCCTCTCTAATTCCAACCCACCAGAAGTTTCTGATGATGGAAGTGAGCTTTGCTAGTAATTTTTTAGTGAAAAGGATATTGGACATGTAATAGACATGGATGGAGGCAAACACAAAATTAATAAGCTTGAGCCTCGCTGCATGGGACAACTTGTTCGCTTTGTAGGTGGGAAGCTTGTTCTTAAATTTATCATAGACGAAGTTGTAAGCAGAAGCACGGTCTTTAGCTGGGAGGATTAATGGGTGCCCAAGATGTGTAGATCTACTATCAATGATAAGAATAGGGAAAATATGCCTGATTTGTTGAGCTAAAGCCTGGGACACATTAGCACTAAACAGAATAGAAGATTTGCCCCAATTCGGAGTCTGACCAGAATTCGAGCAGAAATGGTTGATGAGATTGGCCAGTTGATTAGCTTCCTGTACCGTAGCATTGCCACAAACTAATAAATCGTCAGCAAAAAGTATGGAGTGAATAGGCGGACGGTAAGGACCAAGAGAGATACCGGACAAGCGATTTTCGACCATAGCATCGTGGAGGCTCAAAGAAAGTTCATTAATAGCAAGAACAAAAAGATAAGGCGATAAAGGGCATCCTTGTCTTATTCCTCTACTACTATGAAAGTTGGCGAAAGGCTGGCCATTAATAAACGAATAAACGAGAGATGAATAGATCATACCTTATGGTTGGTCAGGCCAACGCGATGGCGACAACAACAACCTCGGTGTAATCTGCAATCGCCTTCTTGACGGCGGCGTCTTCGACCATGGTGTCGATATAGGGGGACCATGGTGTCGATACATGGGAAGTAGTGGAAGCAGAGTAGGACGAAGATGGAGACAGATCGGGAGCAGTCGCTTATTATCGTTCTCCTAGGCGAAAACCTTATTATCCTAGGAAGAAATAGACGACGACTAGGATTGTGCCGGAGTGACTAAGTTAGGTTTCACTCCACATGCCAGTGCCTTTTTATATAGACCGCCGGGTTACTTAATCCATAATTAAGTAACCATTTTTGACCGAAAAAAACAAGATTTGGCTCGGTTCGTTTCCGCGACCCGCAGCGCACACACTTCGTGACGAGACGACGCATGGCGAGGCGAGCGAAGGAGGAGGAGCGCGCGTGTACAGTTCCTCTTCTCAAGCTTCCAATGGTATATGCATTACAGAAATCAGCTTCTTTGCCGTCTGCCATGACAGATGGCAAAGGCACCAAAAGCGGACAACAAACCTCTTTGCCGTCTGCCATCGACGGCAAAGCTGCCCAGCAAAGAACCTGATGGTAAACATGTTCTTTGCCGTCTGCTTCCTCAAAGCTGCCCGGCAAAGAACCTAATGGTAAAGAGGTTCTTTGTCGTCTGCTTCCTCAAAGCGGATGACAAAGAACCTTTGCCGTCGGTGGCAGATGACAAAGAATATGGACGGGCAAATAGCAGGCGTTAGCCACATTAGGTGGCTAACGGCAGCCTTTGCCGTCTGCCAGCGGACGGTAAACATGCCCTCCTATTTGTCGTCTGCTATATGACGCCAGCTACGCGTCATGCCCCCAAGTCCATCAATACAAATGAAAACAATAACTATACACTATCAGTCCACGGATGCTGCTTCCATGAAGCTAGTCAAACCTGTAAAAATGGGAGTAAGAAAGTTAGAAGAAGAAGAAGAAGAAGACTAGAAGAAGAAGAAGAAGAAGAAGAAGAAGAAGAGGAAGAAGAAGAAGAAGGAGAAGAAGAAGAGAAGACTAGAAAAAGAAGAAGAAGAAGAGAAGACTAGAATAATAATAGGAAGAAGATATTTTCTTCATCTTCTTCATTTCTCATCTTTCTTCTTCTCTTCTATCTTTTTATCCTTTTCCTCCTCATTCTCATTCTTCTTATTTTATTCTCTCTTTTTCTTCTCTTTCTTCTTCTATTCTTTCTTTTTCTCCTCTTCCTTGTTTTTCTTCTTCTTATTCCTTATTTGTGTCATTTTTAGAGCTAACTTAGGTAATTATGCCATTTTTAGCTAACTAAACTTATTATGTCAATTTGGAGGAAAATCAGATTGAATAGTTTTATGGATTTGAAAACACTTGATATATGTTTGCTATGAATACCCGTGGTGAAAATGGGGTATCATATTGATTCACTTGATATGTATTTTGGCACTCAACTGGTGGATTCCCAAGGTGACATTGGGGTAATCTATGCATAAGGGTTGATGCACGCTCTCGTCTTTATTTCTCCGGTAGAAATCTTGGGGCACTCTTCGAGGTTCCTTGTGTGGATTGAGTATTATGAATCTGAAATTGTTTGATGCATATCGTATAATCAACTC